TGTTGCATCATGGTAGGACCGACCGGGATTTTGCTTTGTTGCGTTGTGGGCTGTATGCCTCTTATTCCCTTGGTTTTTTGGTTGGCTGCTTTGGGGCACTTCGGGTCAGTTTGCAGTTTGTCCGCTCCCTGTTTGTGTTTCGTTGTGGTCTCCTTTCCTTAAATCTGGTTGGGTGTGACGGCGTCTTCCAGTTTTGGTAGTTTCCTTGCTTCCACTGATTGTTTGTTTCTTTTTACTTTGTCCACCTCTGCGTTTTGTATTTCCGTAATTCTCTAGTTTGCAGTGGCGGATAGATTGGACCAATTTCGATGTGTTTATTGATGGCTTTTTCAGTGGAGTGCCATGCTTCTATGAGTTCACGTTCGTTCTTTGTTCTCGCTTGAGCCAATATGTGAACGGTGCTTCAGTTGAATTTGTGTCCATCTTGGTCTTCGTGTACGGAGACCGGCGAAAATTTGTCGTGCCTTTTGGTTGCAAGTTTGTATTCATGTTCGGCCACTGCAAACAAAAGAATTATGGAACTACAGAACGCAGAGGTGGACAAAGAAAAAAGAAGCAAAAAATCAGGCCGAAGCAAGAAAACTTCCAAAAATAGAAGACGCCGTCACACCCAACCAGATTTAAGGAAAGGAGACCACAACGAAACACAAACAGGGAGCGGACAAACTGCAAACTGACCCGAAGTGCCCCACAGCTAGGCACGGAGGAAGCACCCATTCAACTGCGCACTGACAATGTCTCCTCGACTGGGGACGAAACGTTTGCAAGCCAGTTGCCAAGCTCGGCGAACAGATCAACTGCCATCCGATCAACCACCAGTGACCTTATTTGTCTTACTTGTGACCGGGAAGCTGAATGCGATTGGCCAGAGTTGTCATGATTGAGCGACGTTTTCGATCTATGGACGAGCATATATAAGGAATTGTCAGTCTTGGGCAATTCGATCCCAAATGCTTCATCACCAATCGAGGCGACATCCTCAGTGCGTTATTGGGGAGCGTAGTGGCGGGTTAGTGGCTGTGCTTTGCGTAGTGTTGTGTGTGTGTGTTGATATACGTGCTGCTAGCAGGGGATCACGATCAACCACTAACCCACCGCTACGCACCACTACGCTCTCCTATAGTGCACTGATGATGTCGCCTCGATTGGTGATGAAACTTTTGGAATCAAACTGCCCAGCTCAGCGAACAAGCCAACAACCATCTACGCTAACTGAGCTACCAACCTTTTCCCCTATAAAAAAACTGTCTGTCCGTTTGGCTTATGATCGTTCTGGTATCCTCCGCAGTGAACTATGTGGACGTAACTGGTACAGCTCTTGGAACTGACTGATAATGAGTCTCATTTGACATTGCTGTAAGATGTCGACAGAAAATTAATCGTTGCAGAAGAACCGGTCTGGCGTGATGTGTGAATTTTAGAATATATAGTGAAGTCATTGAAAGGATCCAGCGAATTTCCGATCTGGTTGCGCTAATCCAGATGGCATTAACATGTCTACCATGATCATTTTTGGTTAACCATGGTCCTCGTTGCGGATCTTGATAACACCGGTCTGGCAAAATATCCACTATTCCATTCAGTGCCCCATGAACAGTGGTGTTTCTGACTCTGGTGATCGTGTTCGATATCCCTTGTCCGACTAGACCGTAGATAAACCCAAATTCTGGAGGTCCTTTTTTACGGATTCCTCATTGAGAACCCATTCTGTATTTCAGCTTAGTTCCTGCCTTAGAGTAGAATCCCAGTTGAGCAAAATGCACCATACATTTAAAGCCCCTGTGGAACGATACTGTGTGCCACTTAGGACCCTGTTCAAGGTCATTAAGAACTGACGATCACTGAATATCATTGTCTGCTAGACTCCTGATTGCTTTTTTGTTACTCGTTTAAAAAGCAACTCCCTACAACATTCTCCTTCATACAAACTGGTATCAAGGTCAACTGTGGAGAAAAAGTTCACATTTTACTGTCTCCCTACTCCCGAAGGTGGTCAGTTGATTTTGGCCGGCCCAGAGGGTGGATGCATTCCAGAGGGATGAGTGAAATTATTGTGCGTAATATGAACGCCTCAATGAAACTGTCACGCTTGAGTGCTTGTGTGATAACTCTAAAGACAGTGACTACGAATCCCTGGATAACAAGTGGTTTCAGAAGCCCGAATCAAAATTCTACCAAAAGATGCAACATCTCAGCCCTCAAAAATACGCGAGTGAAATTCCAGGTTTTCTACATTCAAGCTGTTCAACAGTTGTTCTGCCGAGTAAATAGTTGTTGGTTTTTGATCAGATGGCTGTTGATCTTTTCGCTGAGCGTGGCAGTTGGCCTGCAAACGTTTCGTCACCATTCGAGGGGACATCTTCATCATGATCTCTCCTGATCAGCGACCAATAAACTCACCCGAGCTTCCAATATTACAATACATTACCAGTAAGATGCTAATTTCCTGGTTCTCCTCGTTCTGACCTTATACTGAAACTGCCGCAGACAGAGGGAGAGACTCACTGAGGTCCCTCGTATGCGATAGCCCAAAATGAAATACACAGGCCTCGAGGATAGTTGATAAACTTCATTTTATTTGACATAAGTAGTACGCAAAGGCCGCCAAAAATCCGCTGACAGTCCACTACCAGTTTCGTCCTATTTGAGTCTAATCAGACAGACTAATACTATTCGGCGATTACGCCTTTCTGATGAGTCTCGAACAGAGCGAAACCGACAGTAGGCTGTTCGCGGATTACCAAAAACTTATCTTTCATTTGGTCCTGATGAAACTGTTCAAGATCGCGGTTCTGACTAGCTTTTATCTCCTGCCCTTGAGAAATATTTTGCTAACATCTCAGTTGTCAATACGAATGCACGAAACATTATTGTTGTATTTTGTTCGAAAGGTTTTCCGACAAAATTCTGAAAATTATGCTCGTGACAAATAGATATCACACGCAGATTTCAGCTGGTTGCCCGATCCTGGGCTGAAAGCGTAAGAATGCGTTATTTTTCGCACATTTTTGGGTATTCATTATGTTGTACAATGCGACCGGATAACAAACGAATCATATATGCTCTTGGGAATATCACCCTTCCCTGTTCCGGTTTGGGATGACATGTAAAACACAGCTCCATCATGGCATATTCCCTCTATTCCGGAAATGTAATGAAATTTACTGAGATCCGGAGGGAAAAATATTTTGGAAAATTTGTTCCGTAATCCACCAAAGATCGAAAGCCTCTGATAAGAGATTTATGATAGTCGCCCATGTTCGCCCATGTTTTGAAAGCGTTTTGAACAATAGATTGCGTGTCTAAAGATCATGATTCAGCGAACAACAAACAGCCAAAATTAAATGAATACAGTGTTGGTTTTTTTCAAATTTCCTGTAAAAACAAAAGTTTTCGGGCAACCGGTCATGGAAAAATGGTATCACAGTGGAGGAAAACCATTTGGGAGACAAGCGAACGAATAAAAGCCAGAAAACGATCAGAGACTGACAGCGGATTGGGTAGAAATGCCGAGTGACAATAGATTAGAAAAACAGATCAAAATTTAAACTAGCATTCTCATTTGTGCACAGATTTGAAAACTCAGCTTAATAAAGCTAAATCTTTCATTCATGATGGTGTACTTCAACCAAGGAGGGCAAAACCGATCGTAGGCTGTTGAAGAGTTGCTAGCAACATTATGAGTAGTATGTTGCGTCTATAAAAAATGTATTCTTAATGTACCTCAAATATCGTACCAACTGAAACATGAGGCGGCCTGGTGCGGCACAATCAGTTGAAGTGGAGCATCATAAACGAGAAATTCATCTAGGTTCCAGGTGAGTCTCCCGTCAAAATCAAATTGGCATGCAGATGAATGTATTAGTCGAATTTAGTGAACATTAGGTTGATGGACTGTGTCTACCTGACAAGCTTTAAAAAGGATGAAACATGTCTTGGGCTCTATCAGGAACATTTTGAGTAGTATGACAGAATCGGAACTGTTTGTTTAAGGTGTTTCTGTCAGCTACTACTCCATTTAGGAATGTAATCCTACATGAACCTGGGAAACTTGATATTTTGTGCTTTTCGGGGTTGCAAAAAAAACCCATCGATTACTTCGTTAGTAGAAATCGCGCTTGAATAGAAGTAGACCTCGCCGAGTCCATGGAATTAAGTTTCATCCATTCCGTACTTTAACCTTAAACGAGCTGCTGTCTTTCTTTGGAAGCTTTGCTGGGAGGCAAAAGACTTTGAAATTCCATTCCACAGTTAAAGCCACCTTGTACTGGAATGGTAACAGGCACTATTTCATTCACGCTGGGAGTCACCGGCGATGTGGATCTCGAAAATCACCACAGTGATTCGAATCCGTGACTCTTGAGTTGGCGCGTCGGCAAAACTGAGTAAAAGCACTGTGTCGAAATTGGACAAGACACAGTAGAACATAAGGTTGATGAAAACTCGGAAACTGCGCCTTCCTGATGAGCCCCAAGAATGGCGAAACTAGTCGTGGGCTGTCGAAGATTTTTCAGCAACCTTATGAGTAGTGTATGACAAAGACACAGTAGCGGTAGTTCTTTAATCACACACTTCCAATTACCGTATGCTGTGTTCGCTGACCCTCCAGCAAAGACTTCCTTGACGACAGGCATAGGCGACTTGTGAGAAGAATGCCAGTAGTCTATTATTCTGAAGCTGGGGACGCGTCTGATGAGTAGCGGATCTGAAACTCTGAGGAATTCAGTGTGAAGAACTACACATCTGCCACCCATTAACCGGGTTATCCATCAAAAGGCAGTGAAGTTGATCTCTAAGTTTCCCTCTTCTCTCGACTTATATTGAAAACCACAAAAAAGTGTATGGATAGTTCGCCATTAGTGGTGCTCATCTCACGAATAACCGGGGGACTGAAAACCATTCATTTCCGGTTAGTAATTGAGCCTTGTATCATTCGACAACGAACTGCTGATCAGCCGTGTGGTTAAGTCGCGTTGGCTGACTTGTTGAGTGGAGACTTTGTAGACGCAAGGATCGAGGCGCACATGAAATTCCTTCTTTCGGTATCCTCCACTACAGATAAACCACTGGCATTAGCAGTGTTGTGGAATGTCGGTAGCTGGGGTGTGCTGTTTGGTTGTTGCTCTGTTCGCCGAGCTTAGCAGTTGGATTGCAAACGTTTCATCACCAATCTAGGTGACATCGTCAGTGCAGGGTTGAGTGAGTCCCACCCAACCACTCAACCCACTCAACCCTGCACTGACGATGTCACCTAGATTGGTGATGAAACGTTTGCAATCCAACTGCTAAGCTCGGCGAACAGAGCAACAACCAAACAGCACACCCCAGCTACCGACATTCCACAACACTGCTAATGCCAGTGGTTTATCTGTAGTGGAGGATACCGAAAGAAGGAATTTCATGTGCGCCTCGATCCTTGCGTCTACAAAGTCTCCACTCAACAAGTCAGCCAACGCGACTTAACCACACGGCTGATCAGCAGTTCGTTGTCGAATGAT